GTAATATGCTAACTAGAGTGTATCTTCTGCGGCCTACACTGGCAGGTGGAAAGGATGCTACGCTTTAAAGCAAATGTCTAAATGTTATCTCCATTTCGACCAGTATTTGTTTCAGGTAATACGAGTCTAATGTGTCTGAGAGTATGGTGGTTACAAAGTTCTGCTTTGCACTGGCTGTAGGTTTCTTTGGTGATCCCTATAAAAACAAATGTATATGTCAATAAAAGATACAGGTTGTTGGTTTTTGTTTGTTTTTTTTTTTTTGTGGTGAAGGAACACCGAATATAAATTTACACACAAAGATATATCTGTGAAATCACTTTTACTGTTGCTTATGTGCAAAGAGAGCTTTCTGCAGTTGCCGTGAGTCACCACAGTGAGTTGGACTGAGCGGTGGTTTCATGTTCCTTGCCTCCTTAATCTTGCTCAGGTATGGTCACACTATCCATGGATACTCAGGCACTGGGAAGACGCAGAGGGTCCTTGGAGAATGCAATACTAGCCGCTAGAGATAGCAAAACACCCCTTACTCTAAACACATTACCTTGTGAATCCCTTTGCTCCTCCTGCATATGACCCTAAATCAGTGATTCTTGAGTTTATTCCAAAATCTGTATGTCCCAAGGCAGTAATATCATCAACTGAATCGGAAAACAACAGTGGTGGTTGTCTATTACTCTCACATCACTTAAATCTCTCTACAGTTTACATGTTGGAGATTCATGGATATGGTTAAAAAGCCGCCAGGCATTGCTTTGGACTAGGTCAGATCTCTGGGGTGTGGTTTTGGAGCACATTAGTGTGGACCCTGGTAAGACAAAAAGCTCCTCTTTTTTTATGTTTCTGAGTTCAAAACTGGCTGTTTATAGAGCTGCTTCTCTGGTGCAAACTAAGGATCCAAGGCAGTGGAACAATTGGTTCCATACAGGCCTTCCGTGTTGGAGAAAATAGTGGCATTGGGCGCTGTCATACAGCTTAGTGACGTCCTCACGTTGCCTTATAGCTAGGGTGGTGCTCCCAGTTCCGATTAACAAACTGTAGCATCTAATTTATTTTAATTGTGCACTGTAGTGCAGTCAGAATTTTATCTAAAAATGTATTTAGGAAGTGTATGACAGATCCGTTGTAAATAATACATTCCAATAATGCAAAAAATTACAGATTTAAAATTTAATGTGTATCTCAAATTCTTGTGTCGTAGTACATAGTGGGTGGAAATGTGCAAGGGCTAAATTTAGTTCTTGGAAAGGAAGAAATGGATGGGAATTTATCATTAACTTACAAGGCAGAACACATATTCCACTGATACTCACTGAGCTCCCAGAAGCATAATTAGAATTCATTTTGGAATATTAGGTCAATTAGACCATTTGGTCTGGGAGTAGATGAGTGGTGTTTAATAATAATTTTATTTTTTTTATAGTTCAGGTGTAAGCAGTCTAAGATAAACTAGGCAGAGGTGCCTGTTGTGGGTGCAGTTAAGGTCCCATTGGGACACCAGTAGGGAGTGTACTTAAAACAATGAAGCTAGAAGAGATGTCAATATGGAACCAATGTGATTAGGATATACAGCTAGGCCTAGAAAGCTCTCCCAGTCTTGAAGTTTAGAATAGTTTTCCCATTGCCACAGCGTAATATTAGGAGAAATTGTGAAAGAATTTGTGAAAAGAAATTGAAATGTGTGGTCAGCAAATTATGAAAATTCTTTTATTGAGAGGGGGGAAAAAACAATAAAAAGTTGCAGATTGCTATTACCTGCCGTCTATGTAAATCATGAAGAACTGTGTCATGGGTTTTATTAAAAAAATCCCAAACTCCAAACAAACAAAAAACCACACTGGAAAAGAAAAGTCTGTAGACAAAAAGATCTACAAATTAATTTAAAAATTAACCTTTTCACTTAATAAGCACTTTGGGGAAAAAGAATAAATCCAAGATTAAGATAATCTTGGGCAAAAGTCAATTTCTTTTTCCAATTCATATAACCTTTGGCAATTTAGTAAAAACTGCCTGGACAAAATGCTGTGCGGAGCCCGTGCCGGTGCTGCTGTGGGCGTATGCAATCTAAGAGAAGCCTTTAAGTACCGAGTCCTTTGAGGCTGGTCTGAATGAGAACTGAAAGTGAGAGTCTATATTCTGTTGACCAGAACTGTCTTGCCCCATGAAAAATTACCACTGAAGTAATTGGTGGTCATGTGAAGCGTAAGATGTGGAGTTACTGAAGGGTGTGTGAGTGTAATACCAACACTCTGTTCTCGTGTGCCATTATGGCAAGATTTCCTCCTTTTCACAGCCACTGCTGCTTTGGTTTTGTGTTTGTTTTTTTTTTTTTTTTTTTTCCCAAAATTCACCAATGACAAGATGAACTATAACATAGTCAGTGGTTATCTCTACTCTTGCTCACAGTAAAGAAGTTGTCTGTCAGCTATTCACAAGGAAGCTGTTCCCTGCTGCTTCTTAATTAGTATATGGCAGAAGAACATACCATGGAGTTACTCTGGGGGAGGAGATGTTAATAAAAATTATTTTTCTGGAAGCTCTCCTTTCAGAAGTGAGAAACAGCCCTTGGTTTATGGGAGAGTAGCTCTTCCTCCATGGAGACAGGTCATAAAATAAAGGCAGGGGGAAAGGGGGAGTCAGGAGATGGTCAGGAAAATGGACGAAAACGTGTATTTTTGTGGTGTTCTGTGTTTTTGTGAGAGAGGAAGAGATAAAGAAGTTAGGAAATAAATGAATGTCAAAATGAGAATAAACAAATTATCAAGAATGTACAGAGGTGAAATGAAGAAATATGAGGAAACTGAAATCATTGAACAGATGATATATAGAAGCATAATTAGTTTATTATAGGACAAATGAGTATCAGAAGAGACCTGTTAGTTAACCTGATCTGTAATGTGTTAGGTTCGGAAACTGACAACTAACTTCCAGAAGTTCCGTTTTGAGCCTGTGGAAAATACTAAAAACCTTTGTGGGATGAAGAAATTGAGTAACTTAAGTTATGTGGGTTTTTTCCATGCCACCCACACCTGCTTTGTTATATAGATAGCTCTGATTATCTATAAAAGTGCATGTAGGTCCTTAGTATAGGCACAGTATGCCCCTGGTATTCCTTGTTGAGCGCTCACCTGTCTACTACCACTTCAATTTTATTTTCTGCTTAGCTTCCAGTGTCACTCCTGGAGCCATAGGCAAGGAACAAGCCGTGTCTGCAGTCTTTTCCCTTCCAAACTAATGCACAAGAATGATGCCATAATGCTGCTTCGTGAATCAAGATTTGCAAGAAAAGAATGAAATTGATTGTATATGAAGTGCTGTCAGATTAATGAATAGCACTCTTCTCTTTCCTTTTCTTCCCCAAGAAATTATGATAAAAGGAAGAATACTAAAAAAAATAAAATACCCCCCCCCCCCCACCAAACCAAACCCCAAAGCCAGGAGACAATAAGGTTTTTTTTATATTAGTGTTTTCTTTTTCACATTTAATTTTCAGAATGGAAAAAGTTAAAATTTTCCTCTGTGGGTTGGAAATATATTTCCCTTCCCCTCTCTCTTGTGTGAGAGGAAAGCTGGGGGTCTTATCTTGCCAACAGGAGGAAAATGCGTTATGGCTCATTTAAGGTCGGTCCTCTTTTTCTTAAAGATTATGGGGATGGCAGATGGGAAACGATTAGCCAGGAGCTAAATTAAAGAAATACATAAGAAGTAGCTTTGGATATCTTGCCTTGGACAGTATACTCTGTTCTCTTTGGTTGCTAAATTTTTTTCATCAGTGACTTCTGACTTCTCACCAATGCCAGCAGAATGGACTACATTTATGATTTAGTCCGACTGTTCTTTAGAACTGGGAAGGGATTTACGCTCTGTTGTAAACTGGCAAAAACAAGGTTCCCTTCCCACTTTTACTTCCCAGCAGTCTTCCCCCACCCATTCAAGAAATGGATGGGAAGGTAGGTCTTAGCAACCGTTAAGTATCTGTTAACAGGTTTGGGGCCTGATCTCATTCCTGATCAAACAAGATTTAGATATGGATGCTGCTCTAACAAAGCTGGTAATCTTAGGAGTTGTGATAATGTAGAAGAGAGGCTTCCTTTCACCTGTACAACTGTTCCCCTTTCAGGAAGCAGATATTGGTTTCTCAGAAATTCTCTTGAACTGGGAGTATTGGGGTAACAGCAATAAGAGTTGGTCCAGGTTGATAGTAGCTACTGGAATTGTGGTAAAATGGTGACCCATCCCCTACAATTATTGCTATAGGTATTAATAAGTAGATGAGATAACTAAACAGAATCTTTGGCATCTTTCAACATATGTGTGGTCAAGGCAGTGGGAGGGAAGCAGTTCTTTGGCCCAATGGGACTGTGAGGGAGGAGGGAGAGAGCACACCAGTACCCATTTCTGGACATGGTGTTGACAGAGATTGACAGTGTTTGAGAATTTTTCAGGAAATGGTTTTATCACAGTAGTTCTTTAGTTGCTTACAGTAGATTTTGAAGGGTTGTACGGTATCACAGGTTAATTTTACTTTAGCGTTTTGTCTAACTTCTGTTGCCATTTTTGGCTTTCTGACAAGATTCTGCTAATCAGTTTCTGTCTTTCTACTTTGTGCATTGCGGTGTTTGCAAATCTTGCCACCTCTGCTCTGCCTCTCTTTTTACCTTGGGTTATAGAAAAGGCTTTGAAGAAAATTATTTATATAGATAGAAAGTAACTGCCAGGTAAGTTCTGTGCAGGATACAGAATAATTATTTTCATGTTACTCATTGAAATGATATGAATAATAGTTATCAAATAAACATAATGTGTAAGTCTGCAGAAGATCTTTCAGCCAAAGTATGGCTCTAGACATGTCACAGTGTTTTAGCAAAAACTAAAAGAGAGAGAAAAAAAAAAAAAAAAAAAAAAAGAGGCCAGTCCCTTTGAAATCCAGAGTGGAAAGGTTCACTGATAGAAGTGAGCATTGGGGTAGCAGATACACACACTAGAATTGCTGCATCCGCATGAGGGATAGGGAGGAGCTGCACTCTTCATGTTCCCGGGAGCAGGTAAACCTGCTTTGATCAGGTTCTTGAATGAAAACTTTTCCTGACTGTTCCTGTTCAGCAGTGCGCAGGTTTTGAACAACAGGCTTCCCAAGTGGCTGCTTATTGCCATAAGGTGGAAAGTAACTCATCATTCTCTAGAATTTGTGCGTTATTTCGGTCTTGCAGGGATTCGGTAGTAATCAGTTTACTGACACGCAATAATGAATTTTGCTAACAAACTTTGTAACGTGGTGTCCCACTGTTTGGAGAGACTGTATTATCACAAGGCACAAGTAGTTTCAGCATTTTTTTTTGTTTTAGGAGACAAAGATAAAATTATTGTACCAGAATCACTACGTTTTCAGTTGTACTCAGTAATGTTAGTAAATTCGTTACTGATAGAATGGGACAGGAAACTTCTTTTCATGTCTAGTGCAAATGCTAGGGATTTCAAATAAAATTTGTCTATTTATTAAGGGGTTGAACATTGAAAGTTTTTGTTAAAAGTTGTTTTTTAACTAGTTCAAGTCACTTGACTCATATTGTTATGTAATTTGAAACCACATTATTTAAACCAATTTTAAAACCATTATTAGATTTATTTTTGAAATAAAAGTTGTTTAAACTAGAAGACATTCTTTGAAGTGGAGAAAAACAGACTAAAAATCAAACCTGTTGGAAGCAGAAATATTAAAAGTTCTGTTCAATATTGATAAATGGGTTTCAACAGACAAAAACTTTGCTTGAAAACTGCCCACCCATCTTGTTATGGATAGAAACACAACTCTGGTAGGTCTTTTCTAGTGCAGTGGACTACAAGAGAATGTCTCAACATCATTTGTTGCCTCAAAACATGTAATAAACTATCAGATTTGCAGTAACTAGATTCTGCAGCAGTGTGCTATAATTTAAGACTTTTTAGCAAACTGCAGAGTTAAGCAATGATATGAGTGTGTATACATAAATATGTAGCAAATTTTATTGGACAGATGCTTTCACCTTATGTAAGTAAGCTTATCTGTAAAGGGGACCACAGTTGATGTCATCTCCAGTTGTCACTGGCAAAATAGGTAAGGTTGTACACAGCCTTGAAGGCAACTTCAAGATAATTTAGGATAACGACCACCTGTCTTGAAAAAGAGATTTTTCTGATCTATTATATTTCTCTTCTTACAAATTGTTTTTAAAAGGTGGATCTTGCTAATTCCGTTTGGAGTAGGTAACAATCAGCAGACAGGCTCCATACAAAGGCTTTTTTCCCTAAATGGTGTAAGGAATTGTTTTCTGCAAAAGATTTCCCCACTTGGTCAAGCAACAGATGCTCGTTTCTGCACCTAGGAGCTTGTGCTGCGCTCTCCGCCTTGCCGTCTCCTCCTTCAGTGTTTGGCAGGGTGCCGGCTGGGGCCCTGGCTGGCTCTGCTCCAAAGCGCAGATGCTATCAGTCACCCCCCAAATCCAGTGTCGCCTTTATAGACCTCAGAGTTCTGATGTAAGCAGTTGGATTGTACCTTGTCCCCAAATGCTTTTCAGATCTCTTGAACTGTCTGGTTACTTCAGACATGCAGCATTATTCCAAGATCTGCAGTAGTCCCCATTCAATCTAAAGAGTGAATATGTCAGTTAAAGAGGTAAGGTATTTAAATAGCTAATGAGTTTGAGAAATGGAGTCACTGTTGAAACAGTAAAAAAAAGGCAAAAAGAGAATTTGCCAGAAAGTGTGCAGTTTTTAATATGAAATCCATAATTATCTTATCAGTATTTGCTTAAAGGCAGAGTTGGCACAGTATTAAAATGTCACACAGTTTGAAGAGCAGCAGAATCCCATAGCTGCTTGTATTACAGGCTGTATACAACAGGAAACTATAAAACATATTCATGCCATACTAAAATGTTTGGAAACCTACTGAAGCAGCAGAGATGGAAATGTTTAAATAAGATGTTACATTAAGATGTTATTAAATAGAAAAGCAAGAAACAGTACAACAAAACCTTGATGTGTAAGTAATCAAATCTTTGCCTTTCCTATTAGAAATGCTAAAATTGAGTAGACTTTTTTTAATTAAAAATGTTAAATAGATGCCAGTCTGAGTGCCACAGCAAAATATAGATTGTAAAACAAGACAGTTAATAAAACTTAAAACATTTTTAAGGAATTGTCCATTTCCTCTGTTAAAGAGAGAACTAAAATGTAACACAGACATATGCATAAGGCAGGAAAATATTTCTTCATGCAAATAGTATAGTCATCTTGATTCATAATTTAAGATTGCCTGTTAAGAGGAGGAGGAGGTAGCTGTATACATTGAGAGGTATCCTGTATAATGGTATCCTCAGCTTTATTTCAGTCTGTGATTGAAGTATATGAAATGCTAAATTTTATATAGGTAGTGGCAGTTTGAAATTTATATACTGTGTACAATAGTATGTGGACATACTAATTAGTAATTCCATACCCATTTTGAGTAAAAGAGCTAAAAACATGATGCTGAGCTTGACAGCAGTAGCGTTAGTTAAGCTACAGAGAGAGGTGATATGGAAATAAAACTCATAAATCCCACTGTGTAGAAAAGGGATAAGATACTCACTTATTTCTTCCCCCAAATCAATTAATTCTTAGTAACAACACAGTAATTATTAAAATAGCCATTATTATAAGTCTAAAATGAGAGTAGTTGAAGAGGTTTGATGTAAAGCTAAAAAACCAACATGTTAATCTGAAACGAGGAGTTTAAATACGGAATTATGATATACTTGGCTTTCTGTAGCATAGCTGTCAGGCTCGGGCAGTTCGCTGGTCAATAGTGACATTCTGTGTGTCAGTGAACAGAGTCTCCTGATACCGTAACCTGCAGTTCACACGTTACTGAAGCTCCAACTGTCGAACATTCAAGTCCCTTGGTACTACTGCAGCTTCCAGACTCTCCTGACTGGCTCATGTTTCATTCTTTGGCAATTTGCCCTAATGATATCCCTCAGGAGCTTTCAGACCCTCTTCTTTTCCATATTTAATCGTGTTATATTAATCTGAATGCTGAGCAAACTATGCTGCACAAATTGTAATTGTGCATGGTGATTTCTGCTGCAATGGTCTTATAATTACTTTTTTTTTCATTTTTAATGTGGAAATACATGTACGAAATTGCAGTATTATTTTTATTTACAAGTCTAAATGTCCAAGACAGCCAGGGTATGAAAGCTTTAACTGCTGATCTGTTCCACAAAGAGGTTTTTTTGTGGTTTTTTTTTTTTTTTTTTTTTTTTTTCTGTAAAATCCATAATGTTTTAGCACTTGCTGTATGGACAGGATTTACATTTTATTTTTAGCTCTTCATTTTGTTACTGCAAAAGTACATGTCTAATAAACACTGCTATTATCAAGTTAAGTAATTTTGTACTTTTGTCACAAATCAAGACAGTAATTTTGTTGTGATATAAAACATTAGGACATCCTGTCTTTTTCCATAAGCTTGGTGTCTTCTACGTGGGGCATTTCCTTTTTTAATTTTTTTTTTTTTTAAATAAGTTTTGGTGTGCTTTGTGTGCTGGACATAGGCTACCTTATTTTGAACACAATCTTGATGTTTTCTCATTCTGTGGTAACTGTGGCTGCATAGTAAAATAAATAAATTTGAGTGACTACTTGATGGCAAAGTGGTATTTGATAGATCAAATTTGAATTCTTTGGGTATTGCACGTTATTTTATTGACTTGAGCAGTGAACTTAACCATGTTTCTAAGCAATTCTGTAGATTTTATTTCTTAGGGGTGGTGGATTTTTTTGTGGTGGTTTTTTGTTTGTTTGCTTGTTTGTTTTAGAAAAACAGGGATGTTCATTTTCAGTGGTAAGCAGATCATAACACCTCCTTTCTTGGTCAAGGATTCCTTCATTTTCTGGTGATGCTAGTGCCAGACTCTGCTTTGGGAAGGGAGTTTTGGAAAATTGTAATAAAGTTGCTTTGCTGTCACGGGGAATATTCACTTTGCATTTTTTTGAAGGTAGTTTGGAAATTAAGATAGTGACACAAACAAGAGTTAATGCTGCTCCTGGGTTTAGTGCTCTTCTGTGGCTTCATGCAGGTTCAGATCAATTCCAGTTGTTCCAAAGAGCAGTAATGTGGACCAAAAAACTCCAGAGTCTTTCCTTCTTGGTGGAGCTGAGTGCAGCTGGGGTGCACTAGAGTTCTGTACGTTCATGGCAGTACCCACGTTTGAGCATGATAAACGTCAAGCAGTGCATGTTTATTTTCCTTTTTTCAAGGAAATAACTGAGCAGGGCTAACTTTTATTTGACTTGTTAGCCTGACTTCTTGCAAATGTCATACTTGTGTGCATATATGAGAGTTCTTCATAGGTGCATTTAAGCAATTAAAAGTAATTTAAAAAATGGTGTAATAGGTGGTTTGGGGAGGCTAAGATTCTTACATGTCTACAAGTTAATTTAAGATTTTGTATTCTCTTTTTATTCATGTTTTTTGTTGCCAATTCTATGTGTGTATTTTTATTTCTAGTTAACTGCTTGTGTTCATGCGTCAGCTGCATTGTTATATCCAATGTATTGGCAACACATTTACATCCCAGTACTTCCTCCACATCTTCTGGACTATTGCTGGTAAGACAGCTAACCTGTTATCCCCATTTCTGCGATTCTTACCTGTCTTGTAATTCTAAGTAACTGATGGAAACACTAACAACTTATGTGACTAAATATACAGGATCCAGTTTGTGAAAGTGCTTAAGCCAATGCTTAAATGATGACTTGACTAGAGATATTTCAGCATGCCTTTATATGGTGTTTGAATTGGCACCTTGAATTACAGTGCTAATTACTATCAATGCAGCATTTAGAATCATTTATAATAACTGTTCCTGTTTTATTGTTAGAGAATGCATTGAATAATTTAAATGTGACTGTGTTATGGTTTTCTTTTATTTGGCATTTGTTTTAACTTGAGATAAATGATGCTCATAGAAGCATTCAGAAAAAACCTGATGAGTTTTTATGGAATCAAATGTTAGTCAGAATCAGTATTTCCCTTAGGTCTATACAATGATTTAATATTTGTACTTTAAAATCAGCCAGGTTCAGGGTCCTATCTGACACCTTCCCAGTAGTGCTTAAAAATCTCCTTTTGGTACTTCCAAAATTTTCATTATAAGAATTCTGCTTCTCCAGATATGTGTCTGTTCACATGACAGACTTTGTGGTTTTGGCAAATTTTTAAGTTGAACAAGAAAGAATCACTTTGAGTCACTTCTGATCCTTCAAGGGGTGATGTTTCCATGTGCCTGTGTTTCAAGAATTCAGGCTAAGAAGAGTTCTGCGTTCTTCTATTTGTAGTAGTGCCAGAGATACCAAATGAGAGTTTCTATTAAAGCACCATAAACAAGGAGTATCCATCCCTGGAGACTTTCACTTTAACTAGACCCTGTGGATCTGTGATGGAAAATTGAACTGTTTAAAGCCATTTTGGAGATCAGGAATTATATATAAAACCCATGTCCAAGTCAGATGCCTACCAACATAAGTCATGCTTCTGTTATTTATGTTTTTCTTCACAGAAATAAATTATACTTGTATATTTACTAGGCCTTATGTTTTTTTTTTTTTTTGAAACCTATAAATATTGATGTTCCATTGAACTCCACCCAGTCTATTGAACTTCTTGTTTTCAAAGAATTTCTCATTATGTTTCCTTAAGTCTCTTTGATAGTTTTTCCTCAAGTTTACAATATTTGCCCATGGTATATCTTTTTCTGTGGTAGTTCCCATACTTCATATGTATATTATTTATTGTTTTTAAAAAGAAATAAAATATTCTTCTCCCACTCCTCCTTTTACTTTCAACTGTAGCTAAGCCTTTCATCTTTAATGATAGTTTTCTTTTGAAGAAACTCTGTCCTAATTGTTTTTCCTCCTAGCTTTGATAAAATGCACCAAGAAGGGGGTAGAGCTGGGGTGTATTTGTTTAGTTTTTGTATTACTTGAGCTTACTGCCAGAAGCTTTGTAATTCCTTCAGTATCATCCATAAACGCTGTTCTCAGAAGGTAGATCAACACCTTTATTCAATGCAGAGTGCATCCTGAATACTACAAGGTGGTTTTTTTTTCCTCTCCTAAGCACAAATAATGTTTCCAGAAATAATAGTGTTAGACGCTGTACACAGTTTCTTGTGATGATGATAATAGTTGAGATTCCAGGTCATTGTGGTGTGACCTGAGAATTTTTTTTACTCACTAAAAAGAAGCATGGAGTTTCTTAAACTTATAAAACTCATTTATAACCCTTTTTCTTTTTCACAGTAGTACAATAGAGTGGGGGGGGGAAGTTTCCCTTTTTTAAAGATGTTCAAATGGGAATATAAAGTTCATGAAAGGAAATGCACAATTGATTAATTAACCACAGTAGCTATAATTCAGACCTTTTAACTCAGATTTTCGTGCATTTAAATTTGTCTGTCTGGTCACATCTGGTTTCAGTGGTTCTTTTGTGAGATAGGTTGGAATAGTGTAATAAAAACGCATGAAATACTTAGCTTTCTTCACATTTTGATGTATTAACAGTAAGTAAATGTTTTCCTTATAGGTATATAATGTATCAAGTTAGAAAACCTTGATGAATTCATAAGGTCAAAGTTTATGCTAGGCCAGACCTAGTGTACAATCAAAGAAGATTATGTCAATTTAAAGATAATAAAATAATTTTCTTACTCTTTTTTTATATTTACATTTTTGGTGTGATTTTGATAGAGGAAAGTCCTTTTTTTTTTTTTTTATAAAAATGTCTCTTTTTCCTTTTAACTTAACATGCATTTTCATACCTAGAAACTACTTGTCATTGCTTCACTTTGTTGGGATGTCTCCCATAAACTCTCATTTTATTAGTGTTGTTCTGAAATGATATGCAAATAAATGAAGTAGGGGGTTATCAACTTGATAATTTTGTTAGTTCCAAGGGAGTAAGGCCATTTTAAAACAAAGGTAAAACACATTTAAATCTACTAATTTAACTATAGGCAACTTTTTTTGCATGTTAATCGTCCAACATATTTTGAGAGAAATCCACAATTTTTTCTTATGAATTTGACTATGTATCTTCAAAATTTTGTAAAGGTAAATGTTATAATTCTGTGGGGTTAGAATTTGATAAATTATATAAACGGCCTAGCTGGTACATTTTGTGAGCATGAAAAAAGAAAAATGTATCTTCGAGTAAAACAGATCTATATGAAAAAATGATTTAAATTCTTCCACTTGCCTTTTTAATCAAAAAGCCTCTTAAGTTCTATCGGACAACCTGATACACAGACTGATTTTAGACATAAAGTAACAGATGTTCTTAAAGTAGTCAAAACCCACTGGTACTGAGCATCAGTTGGACTGCAATGCCGTCGGGATCGGCCAGGTTACGAGTACTTGCAAGGCCCAGTGTGTGAACATACTGTGTATTTCTTTACTTCAGGATGGATTTTTTTTTTTTTTCCCATGTAGCTTATCTCAGCCTTGAATTCCATTATGAGAACTCCAATGTGAAAATTGAAACAACCATCCAAAAAAGAAGAGTCAATAAATTTCTTTCTAAAAGACAGCAAAATGTTAGACAGTGAAAGTAATTTTCATTTTAGCTCTAGAGGAAGAAAATGCAGTGGAGTTACTAAAGAATTGAGTTTTCTGAATATTTTTTAAGAATTGATTTCTCTTCTACATTTAAGTAAGAAAAAAGATACTGTTGCACTCGGCCCAGTAAGTGTCTGGCTTTCAAGAAAGTTTTTACAAAAATTAAGCTTGAGCATTCATATAGTAATTCTATTTGAATAAAATTAATTTTTGTAAAGGAGAAAGCTAATTTAATCAAATATCTGTGTAATTTCATGTCAAACTAAGTCACTGATGTAAGAATGTATGACAGTTTGTGGATGATAAAGCATCTGTTCTAGTGGTGCTCTGTTAAGAATATGATGCAATTAGAAAATTCAAGTTACAATTGCAACACATGTTTTTATGAGATTTGGTCTCTTCTGAATTGGGATATATGTATGCCTGTTTTTGTGAGACTGGAACAATTATTTTCCAATTAACTTGCGTGTTTTGCATAACATAGTAATTATTTTAGGCAATGATGCTGTAGATTAATAACATTTTTTGTAATAACATGCATAAGCAAGAGAAGAACTATATAGCAGCTCCCAGTAGTATCATAGTGAGCAATTTCATGTACATATTACAAACCTCTGCTGTTAAGGCTTCAGAATCCAACAGTAATAAAATTCATTCTTTGCTGAAAATGATCAAATTGACTTTCCGTACCTGCAACTTTTATTTCATGCAATTTGAAGCTTTGCTTGTCTAATTAGCTTTGTACTTTTATTCTGTTAACTTCTCAGAATTGAAATGATGTAGCTGTTGCTTTGTTCTATAGAAAAGAGCTGCACGCTACCCTTTTTAATGACAGATACGTTAATGGAGCAAATCATCAGCTATTTTAAGTCAGTACAGGCCTGGTGAAGCTGCTAGAACAGTGTCGATATACAAGAATACAAGTGTGCATAAAATGCATACATGATACAGCGCTTGTTTTCACTGTAGTTTCTCCACTTCACATTATTTGTGATGCTAAGATACTCTGATTTGCTGAACCTGAGGATGTGTTTTGCTGCATATTCAGCAGAAGAACCCTCAGTTACATGTCAGTCATAGTCATTTGCAGTGGCTTGCTTAAATATGTGTATTTTAAAGCGTTCTTAAAATTATAGAGTATTTTAAAGCTGTCTGATTCCTCGCTGAATATAAGCGTGTGTCTGCTCTGCAGTGACACCCATTTATGATTCCATGTAATTTGTGTTTAGTCCACAAAGGCATAAGGCCTTAGCCTGGTTGAAGTCGTCAGGAGGTACTGAAATTTTTCAATACTGGGTTAAGAAAAAGGTGGGTGGGGACATAGAGGTCTCATTTTCCCTGTTTGGAAGCTCCATTGACTAGAAACCTTGAGCCTTGACAGTTTGTAGTCTCAGCAAATCTTTATTTTGATAGTATAAACATGATGAAAGCTTCTTTTGGCTTCAGTCAGTCTAGGTTTTGTTTTGTGGGTTTTTTGGGTTCTTTTTTTTTGGGGGGGGGTGGTGGTGTTGGTGTTGATTGTTTGGGGTTTGTTTTGTTGTGGGGTTTTGGTTGTTTTTTGTTTTTGTTTTTTTTTTTTTTGGCATCGATCTTCTGTGAGACATTGTTAATGAGAGCAATTGGCTAATCCATAGTGTGTACAGATTTTTCTAAAACTGGCTGTATTTGCAGGCAGGTGAGAATTGCTGCTTCTGCTCCCAGAGTTGCAACCAAATTGATGAGGCCACATGAACTGACGGAGTGAAGCCTCTCCCTGGGCCTCAGGAAGTCAGTCACCAATCAGTTAGTGCCAGGGGCTCAGATCTGTGATCGAATTAATACAATGGGAGAAATTATTCTATGTCAGCTATCTGTGTACCTTGGTATAAGTCATCTTACCTTCCATTTATTTTTGAGATTATTTTTATTTATTATTTTTCTCTCTGGTCAGCTAGTATTTTGTTTCCCGCTGAGTTACTTAAACCAGCCTGTTTACTGCTCACTCTAGTAATAGTAATCTTGCAGTACCCAAAAGTGTGATGATGATTGTTGGGTGTTTCTTCCCTTCAGCGCTGGATGTTGAGTATATCTTGGTCAGATGTTGCAAGAACACATTCACTAGGGGAAGAAACAGAAGATTATAGGAAATAGTGATAAATTAGCCTAATTCAGTTTCTTGCTTGCGTACTGCAGGAGGTCTCACTCCAGAGGCTTTGTGTGGCTATTTATTTTATTTTGAGTATATAGTTCCTTGTCTTATCCAAATTGAACATGAGAAGTTTACTATCTTTGAGTTAAACAGGAGATTATACAGCTTCCAAATGCCCACCAAGGAAGAGTTTCAGAAGCACGTTCAGAAACAAAACTGGAATTATTGATTTTTGCATTGCAGTGTGGTGTTGTTAAATGGTCCCATATTCTCCAGAACGGTGGTTTACAACCATTGTAGTTCTAGAAACAGACCGCTTTTGGGATATCTGCTAGGTTAGCTCTGCCATATGGTATGGTTGGTAATTCAAACTATGTGTGGCAAGCCAGTTAGCAAGGTGTACACATCTTCTCGCTCATACTTCCATAATTAGGAACAGTGTCCTTTATTTTGTGGTTGTCTTTGCTGTAAAAAAAAATATTTCAGTAGCAACTGTGTTCATTTGATACAAGCTTAAAGACTGAATGCTAATTAGGGACTATAGGTGCCAAGATTTCACGTATTTTTTCCTCCACAAATGTTATAGTGGTTGGTACTTAATACTTGATCTTTTCCACTTTTTCTTCAGTGCACCAATGCCTTATCTAATTGGCGTCCACTTCAGCTTGATAGAGGTAAGTTTACTGTACACTTCTGCGTACTGGTAAGCATGAGGTGTGTGTGCCATAAATGATAATTTTAATGGAAATGCTTCAGAAAGAATCCCTGAATTTTAGTATACAGAATTACAAGATTTAAGCTTCCGATGCTTTACAAAGTAAAAAATGGCCTTCTTTGAAATCTTACTTTCGAAATGTTTATGAAGACATGTAAACTCTACATCATGATTTCTTTCTGTGTCTAATAGCTCAATGATAGCTTTTTTCCTACCTTTTTTGGTGGTTCAGCAACAGATTTTCACAATAATAACAGGTAAAATTTATTTTGGAGTCACCATCAATCAGAATTGAGCATAATTCTGATTTCCCAGATAATTTATGTTCCTGTCCCTCTGAAAATCCGAGTCTAAGATTCATCCCATAACGTTCATAACCATTAATTTAGAAATGAGTATTTTTTGCCAAAAAGATAGCCTTTTCCAATTCGAACATACAACAAAACAGTAGAACTCACCCGAGTGGTAAGCAATAGCTGGGTCATAAATAGCTTTGCGTCTTTCAATAACCATTTGATGACACAATTAAGCCTATGTGTGTAGTCTGGTTATCACATAATCATAGAATGTATTGGGCTGGAAGGGACCCCCAAAGGCCATCTAGTCCAACCCCCCTGCAGTGAGCAGGGACATCTCTAACTAGGTCAGGTTGCCCAGAGCTCCATCAAGCCTGACCTTGAATATCTCCAGGGATGGGGCTTCCACTACCTCCCTGGGCAATTTGTTCCAGTGATCCACCACCCTCATATTAAACAACTTTTTCCTAATGTCCAACCTAAATCTACCCTTTTCTAGCTTAAAACCATTACCCCTCATCCTATTGCTGCAAACCCTCGTGAACAGAATAGATCATGCAGAGCTGATAATTGATTTGGGAACTTTATTTGATTTACGCTTCTGGTAAAGCAGTTTCTAAGGATCAATTCACATTTGCAAAGCTGATGAGGTGGGTTCTCCCCCAGTCTGAGCAACTAGCAGTTTTGTGTTTCCAAAAAAGAGCCTTCTATCGTGTATACTTCTTAACTCTAGGCATAGCCTTCTGTTCTCTCAAATCAGGTTTGTATGACCTGCATACGTTGCCTATATCTTGACTAGGATCGTTTTCCTTATTCCGTCAGAAAATAATGGAACAGAAAGGCTTGCTCTTAAAAGGAAGTCACTCAATTCCTTCTGGAATTATTTCCTAGGCTGCACTATTATGCGTTATTGTAGGACCACATACAAAAGAGTTCTATCATTTTTTCCTGAAAGGAACAAATCGTTTAATTCTTAGCTGCTAGTCAAGTCAATTGATGAAAGATTGTTTCATCCATTCTTCTATAATAGTAGTAGACATCCCGTGCCTGGGACTTACATACATCTGCAAATAATTACTTATTTTTTTCTGTTTTTCATCTGATTATATAATTAACATCCTATCTGATTTTCACAAATATGAGAAAATGAAACGTTCTTATGAGATATGTGTAGTTCCAATATATTCTAACTGTGTTTTGTGTAAATCATGGTTTTCAAGAATTCATTTCTTGAATATACTTATAATTCGATTATTAATATAACCTTACTGCTTGATGAAGAGGAATTGTTTTTAAAAACTGCTCTGAATCCTGCATCTAATTTGCAAATCCTACATCTAAAGCTCAAAATATTGTCTTTTTCATTATTGTCATTTGTAAAATCATCGTTTGTAATCTAGCACATTATAATAAAAATGTACTTCACAAGGATGCCATAGTAAAACGCTTTTCCACTATTTTTTTATTCCTCTTAACAGAGAGTAAAAAATAAATCACTGGAGGATGTGGTTTTGCTAAATGTTGACACAAACACTCTAGAAACCCCTTTTAATGACTTGAACAACCTACCTGGTGAAGTGGTGAGTCTTACAGATATTTCATTCTTTCTGTCTTATATAGATGCTTGAATTACTAGTAGTTATTTTTGCCTGGTTTTGCTAAGTGCTATAAAAGGAATAAGGGGGTGAAAAGCACCAAGTGTAGACCCCTATGTTGGAGATTTTTGCCTTTTTGACAGTTGAGGAGATGTTGAATGGAACATCATATTCCTTATTGTAAAAGTAGGATCATAATTATAAAGCTAGCTGCATTCATTAGGCATAGCTGCTTTAAACGCAAGAGTCTCTTCATCTCATCTTAATCATTATATTACAAAGTAGGCATTTCTGTCTGCCTAGTGGCATGTCTTGCAAAAGAACGAGAGAGTTTTTGAAGGCAAAAAGAAGAAGGGGGCCAATTATCGGCTTCTGCTTCCCTGCCACCTGCCAGCGCTTTCCTTTTAATTAATGATCTGATGGCACTGGTCAATATAATAAAAAATGCTTGTACAGTTGGGGTCAGAAAATTCAGGCTTTGATCTTCTTCAACTTTCTGAAACATTTATTTGTTTTCTCTAAATTATTTCAGTTTTATTTTAATCTCTTCTATCCTGCTGAGGGCTGTGTGAATGAAAACCTATACTGTTTGTCATTTGCTTTGGCAGAGCAAAGACTGCTTACTTAGAATTCTATTTGTAAATTAAACTGCAAACCCAGTTTGTCATAAAAGACATCTGATCCTTTTGAAATGACGAAAACTGTCTTTTGTCTGTAAAGGATGATAAATTAAGTGCCAGTTCTTTCTGGACTTTGATCTTGCAGAGGGTGTCCCCCCCTTTTTCTTTTTCTTATTGCCTATAGGGGAACATACTCTGTATATCATTTTAAATAGTCACAAAATTCACTTACCTTGTTTTTCCCAATAGAGCTCTAAAAGAATATCATTGTGAAACCACTGTTTTGATTATTTAGTTATAGGTACTCAAGCTATCACAAATGGTTGTCAAGACAAAGAATTTTATATCAAAATGTGAAATCAAAGAGTTACACTTTCTGAAATTGTAAATCATAAAAACAAACTGTCTTAATCAAAGTAAGGTGCTGCAGTGACATACTATGTCTTTTGTTTTTGTTGGTAATTTGTATATATTTGGTACAATAGAAATCAAACCCTTGATGGTTATATGTATGCCAGTTCCCTTTGATTTTAATGATGTTAAAATCTAGACTTTTAATAGATCATCTGGTCAGTATTTCTTTTGACTTGGTATCAACTATAGTTCAGAAATGTAAAAGACTGTATAAAAATTTTTCAGATGTTTTGTGATTTTATGTTAGTGTATGAAAAAGTATACACACCCACATGTGTATATACAATAATTTTGATTGTACTCTATCCTTCAAGAGTATAACAAGTTAAGTAAAAAATGAGTAATTTTCTGGTGTGTCAGTAATTTTGACTGATCTTGCGTTCAGTGAATGAGCTTGAGGTTATAATGTCATGGAGTACATCCCTCTTGTCAAATAATAGCTAGATGTAGAATTGAGAATTATGCATCATCTTCCATAAAGATGCTGGAGTTGTAGCTGGAGGTCCTTCAAACAGTAAAAATGGGTATTTATGCAAATCGAGGGACTTCTCATGTATTTTACAGATGTGTATCAAAATGATCTCTAAATGAGTAGGCTAGCATGAAGAAAATAGGGATAAAGAGCTTCATACTTTTAGAAGTGTATTCTCCCCCAGGATATATGCATGTTACTATTACTAATGTTAATGAAGGTTATCCAAGTGTACAGACTATACAGTAGACTTAAAATATTTCATTCCATATCTAATATAGAACAAAACAGAACAACCGTGTTTTATGCAAAATATACTTGCAGAATTTGAGGATTTTGTAATGAAGCTTTTAATTTGAATATTCCTATCTCTTCCTCTTTTTCAATCTGTAAAGCACTTTAATTAAAACAATTTAATGGAAAATATATACGTTTATAGTTGGAAAACCTGGAAACAAAAGGCACAGACAACGTCCATGTTTGGCTCATAAAATGACAAAACGCTTGTCCTTTTCTGTTAATGAGGGGCAGTGCTAATGTCTCTGTTAAAGTGTAAGACATCGGAGTGTAGAGTCAAAATGGTAAATTAGACTTAAAACATTAAAGCAAATGTCAAAGATACTTGCATATGTGAAGCTTTTTAACCTATATAAATAAACCGCATAAGCGTACATACAAAGCTAATAAAACTTCTGATGAAACAATATGAGTACCTCTGAAGGGTGTTAAAATAGCATGAAGAACTGAAAATGTAAAAGAAGCTCTAGTCTTACTTATCCCTTTCAAAAATTGATTCCATGTTGCTTAACAGCCTAACAAAAGAAATGCAGTATTTTCAAAGAGTTTTCTAAAACTATTTCTTGTGTTTGAAGGAAATTGAGCAATTATTTTCTTGATCAATAATCCTGATGATGTCCTCACAGCATAGGTATTTCATAGTTTACCGGTGTATAAGGAATATGTCTATTAAAGTGCTCTGCGTAATTTTTCATGATAAATTTAGGATTGAAAAAAAATTATTATATGGCATTATCTAATAAACTGTATAATAAATAAACTGAGATTTAAAGGCATTTTTAAATCATTTACTTAAGCATTTAAATTATAGTTACAGGCTAGATGACTTTGTATGCATGTGAACTCTATTATTCTGTCAGACTGACCAGTGGTCTTGACTGTGCAAAGGTCAGTGGTCACAGTTGTCCTGAATTACCAGTCCTTTTTTTCATGTGGACCCTCTGCTGCGTTGCATGCTGTAATCTTCTTAATGGCTTCATTCCAATATTCACACATAATATTTTAGATTTATTGACTGTTAGAAATACTACCATGCCAGTAGCAGTTCCGCTGCTCCTAAGGTATTTAAAATTGGAAAAATAAATCAGTGCAAGACTTTCAGGAATCCTTTGTTTTCTTAGAGGGGGAAAAAACCTTCTTTTTCCTTTCTTCTGACAAGAACACTTGTTCTTAAATTTCATCATTTCACTGTGAATTTGTCTATTATTAAAAAAAAAAAAGTAGCTACTTCTGTGGGAGTAAATTTCCTAATACAATAATACTTAGCTCACAACTTTAATAATGTAAGATGTTAGAATGTTTGTGATGTATATAAATTAGTGGAGACTCTAGACACAAATTTATAAACTTTGGGCCTGATCCTGCAATACCTGCTTGCAGTTACTGACAAAAAGACTACTCCTTTGCTCAAATTTGAACACTTTCACAAAAAAAGCTTGGAGAATTGAGGGCATCACTTTTAGCAACCAAGTCTTACTGAATTCTCCATAGTCTAAGCAGAACTTTTATAAATATGATCTTCAGAAAACAATAGGCTTTTTAGGTTTTTAGCATCTTCTGTGGTTGTTAAATATTGTTGACCATAAAATCTACAGAGCTGTTGAAAGATGCATAGCCTTTATAGCGTTTGGTGCCTACACGCTACGATGCAATACAGAATCTAGATGGGTTTTTAGAGTTTTAGCTTTGACATTCCTAAAGTCATAGGATTTGACACCGTAAATTGAGCATATGAACATTACTGTTCTAAAAGTAGCATTTGAGAAGGAGGCTGTAATTCACGTAGAAAATTAAGGTTACTTTATAAAACAATTACTCGGAAGGTAATGGTCAACATGTAACAGTGGAATACAAAAGATTTATTTGTAAAATTTAAATATCATAATTTACCATGTTTTCCCATCAAAAAATAGCCAAAAATATTACTAATATATTTTAGAAACTCAGAGTCAGCAGTGTGTGCAGTGTTATGAGGCAACTATTTATTTTGAATAAATTCTTAGAGTTGAGGTTCTGTTGAAGCTGGATATATTTTTAGCAGCTAGAATGTGAGGTTGAAAAGTACCACTAGTTTTGAAGACATTTGCATTTAAGTAGTTTTTTTCATCTAAACAAGTATTTGTAATTAAATGCTGGAGGGCTATCTGAGATGCCTAAATCCTGTGCATGTAGATAATATCAAATATGTAGAAGCTGTTTCATTGACAATGCTGATTTAAATCATATCAGATTCCATTTTGTTGTAAGGTTTTTGTTTTGTTTCTCTGCTGTCTTCTCTTACTTTCTCATGTTGAGAGTGGGCTTACTTTTACAGTGACATGATCTGATGGGGAACACCAAAATATAGTTTAAAGCATAACAGCTGTCACTGATACCAGAGAAATACCTGGATATCGTTTTTTCTTCAGAGATCTGGTAGTCATTGGGAGCCCCATTGCATGGTTCTGCATTTCTCAGGCTGCAAATGTCTTGAATACTTCTATATGTGTTTAAATTTATATGCATGCTTAAGTTTTTGCAGGAGCAAAGGCTTTGATTAATAGTTAAATGATTTTATCAATTTATTTTTTAACTTTATGTGCAGTTCTATTCTTCTACTCAGACGGATATTGAAGAGATACTAGTCATGCTTTGTTTCTGATCAGATAGTTATATTTTTGGAATTTTAGAAAGGACAAAGGGTGACTATTTTAAAAAATGACACTTTTTGTTTTCTTGACCACACAACATGCTTCTACATTTTAGATACACTTAATTACATATGAAAGTAAAATCACATCTCAATCTCATGACTTTCTAAATCTCTGAAAAACTATTCTATTGATTCAAACCTTCCTGACACTCTTGATTGCTCTTCATTGGTAGTGTTTGGTAGTTAGTCCAATGAAGTCACCTTTCTGTGAGAAGCTGTTGCTAGGAGAAGACAAAAACAGTTTGCTTCTAGTGTAAATTAATAATATCGTTCCTGAAATGGATCACTAGTCTCTTCCAGAAATAAATTTTAACAGCATTCTAACCCCTGTGGTTTGTTTGTATGCAGTTCTTTAGTTTTAAACTTTGTAAAAGGCTATTTCTGCTTAAGATAGGCAAAGGGGAAAAAAAGTCTGGCATTCTTAATCATAGATAGGTAGATAGATTACAGCACATATGAGGAAAAGATTTTGATAAAGATGCTGCTTGTTATTTTTTTGGCTTCATGCCAAAACTGTGTATTTTCTTTGAAATTTTAAGAGCTATTAATGATGTCACCCAAAGGGTTCTCGCACTTCCTTGGTTTTAAGTTCATGGATCTAAGCGATCACAACCCTGCTGTGAACCGAGTCCTTCTAAGTAGTTCAAAGCACGAAGTTTCTTATGTATACCCACTGTATTGACTGTAATAACTGCTTTATCACTCTATCTTTGATTAAACTGTGGAACTGGGAGAATTTGCTGACAAGCTATCCAAATGCTATCACTCAGTGGTGGGATAAGCCCTGAGAAATCACTGTCCCTCTGCATGCATGTTTGCTGATATCAGCTTGAAGGAAACCTAGGCTGGTCTCAAGGGTGCTTCAAGCATGCTTCAGCCAGGATTCCAGTTGTGACAGTTGGGAAGCCAGGCCTGTGGCCCACATTATCATAGAATCATAGAATGGTTTGGAAGGGCCCTTTAAAGGCCATCTAGTCCAACCCCCCTGCAGTGAGCAGGGACATCTTTAGCTGGATCAGGTTGCTCAGAGCCCCGTCCAACCTGACCTTGAATGTCTCCAGGGACGGGGCTTCTACCACCTCTCTGGGCAGCCTGTGCCAGTGTTCCACTACCCTCACTGTAAAAAATTTCTTACTTATATCTACTTTAAATCTATCCTCTTTTAGTTTAAAATCATTGCTCCTTGTCCTGTCACAGGCCCTACTAAAAAGATTGGCCCCATCTTTCTTATAGGCCTCCTTTAAGTACTGGAAGTCCTCAGTAAGGTCTCTCATGGGAGAAGTGCTCCAGCCCTCTGATCATTTTTGTGGCCCTCCTCTGGGCTCGCTCCAACAGGTCCATGTCCTTCTTGTGCTGGGAGCCCCAGAGCTGAACACAGCACTGCAGGTGGGGTCTCACCAGAGCAGAGTAGAGGGGCAGAATCCCCTCCCTCAGCCTGCTGGCCACACTTCTCTTGATGCAGCCCAGGATGCAACTGGCTTTCTGGGCTGCGAGCGCACATCACCAGCTCATGTCCAGTTTTTCATCCACCAGCACCCCAAGTCCTGCTTGGCAGGGCTGCTCTCAATCCCTTCATTTCCCCCAGCCTGTATTGATACTGGGGATTGCCCTGACCCAGGTACAGGACCTTGCACTTGGACTTGTTAAACCTCATGAGGTTTGCACAGGCCCACTTCGCAAGCTTGTCCAGGTCCCTCTGGATGGCCTCCCGTCCCTCAGGCATGTCACATCACTCAGCTTGGTGTCATCTGCAAACTTTGCCCCGAGCCCACTGTCTCTAGGTCATTGATGAAGATACTAAACAGCACTGGTCCCAATACGGCCCCCTGAGGGATGACACTCATCATCGATCTCCATCTGGACATCGAGCTGTTGACCACTACCCTCTGGAAGTGACCACCCAACCAATTCCTCAGCCACCAAACAGTCCACCCATCAAATCCGAATCTCTCCAATTTAGGAAGTGGGATGTTTTGGGGGACTGTGTCAAAGGCCTTATAGAAGTCCAGATAGGTGACATCTGTAGCTCTTCCGTTGTCTGCTGATGCAGTCACTCCATCACAGAAGGCCAGTAGGTTGGTCAGGCAGGATCGTGCTGGCTGTCTTGAATCACCTGCCCTCCATGTACCTTAGCATAGCTTCTAGGAGGATCTGTTTCATGATCTTCCCAGGCACAGAGGTGAGGCTGACAGGTTGGTAGTTCCCAATGTCCTCTTTTCTACCCTTTTTAAAAATGGGTGCAGTGTTTCCCTTTTTTCCAGTCACCAGGGACTTCACCTGACTGCTGTGTCTTCAAATATCTTGGAGAGTGGCTTGGCAACTACATCAGCCAATTCCCTCAGGACTCTGGGGTGCATCTTGTCAGGTCTCATAGACTTGCGTACATTCAGGTTCTTCAGGTAGTCATGAACCTGATCTTCTCTCACAGTGGGAGGTACTTTGCTCCCCCAGTCCCTGTCTTGCAGCCCATCCACTTGAGAGATGTGAGAAGAGAGGCTGCCAGTGAAGACTGAGGCAAAAAAACTGTTGAGTACCTCAACCTTCTCCTCGTCCATTGTTACCAGCTTGCCAGCCTTGCTCATCAAGGGAATACGCTTTCTTTAACCTTCCTTTTCTGGTCGACATACCTGTAGAAGCCCTTCTTATTATTCTTTTCATCCCTTGCCAAGTTCTCTGCAGGCTTTTTCTTAAGAGCGCTGTGCTCCTAGTACTTCTGCAGAATAATCTAATAGAGCTCTTCCTGCCTTTTAGCATTGCCTCCTGAGAGAAGCTGAAGTTGGAGGAACTTTCTTTGAACTCCAGCATAGCCTTTCTCTTCAGAATGGCAGCACAAAAATGTGCACCTGACTTAACACATTGTTGTGCTGGAGAACCCGCCTCCAAACTGCCAGCCCATTGGGATGTTCTTAATATCGTTGAGCTAATAGCGTACCAATTCTGCAGTGAAGCGGGAGATTTGTTCCTTTCTATTGTTCTTTTTGACATGTTTTTGCCTAAAGCATCCTGTTTATTGATTTATGTCAGGGTACGTAGGACCTGCCAGAACTGAGGAAACCATAAAATACCATTTTCCTTCACATCCCCTGCTTTGTCCTATAATTCCTGTGCTCTGCATTGTATTTACACCCTTTCTTCTCTTACCATGCCTTCTTATCTGCCATAATTTCCCAAACTTGCAAGGTATAATTTAGAAGAATGTGGATTTAAAAGAATGCAGAGAATTTTCTATCTTTTCCCTCCCTTATATTTAGAAGATGCTTTGTCCATCATGAAGAGACAACATTTTAAGGTTGACAGTTCTTTTTTTGACCTCATCTTACTGCTTTTGTTTTAGTGAAACTGAGCTCTAACGTAGATGGGCAGATTTCCCTTATACAAAGGATATATAAATTTATTTTCCCGGGAAATTATTATATATGATATTATTATAATGTATGATTATTTTTAAATAACTTTAAAATAATTACACAATACAGAACAAAATAACCAAACACAAAACCAAGGCATGCATTTATTTTTTTCAACCTTGAAATGCTCAACTGTTTTTTGTACTCAGACTTGTACTTTTTTTTTCTTTTGAGGTGTAAGGGAAAACGTAAATGAGCCTTGGTGTATGCTTTCCATGGGCTAAACGAATCAGGCTCTAAACTTTTATCTAGATCTATGGAGCTTGGATATAAATTGAAAAGATCACAGCTATGGGGAAAAGACCTCTACTGTAAAGGCCTTTCTGCATAGATTATGAACATCATAACTCAATAATTTTTTTTTCAAAACTATAGTTATAATTGGACCCAATGGGGGTCTCTCTCTTTGATCAGATCACAGTAACTGTGACTTTACACTGGAAAATGTCACTACTGTGAAGGTTTATCACCTGTAGAGCTGGTCTTTTCTCTGATGCCATGTTCAGTTCTCATTAGCATTATTCAAAGTTTAGTTGTTAATTAGGTTGACACTTCAATTACAATCATAATCTACAAGAGCAGTCAGGACTGCTTTCATAAAGAAACAAAAAGATACTCATTCTTGCATATATTTCCAGAAGAATGAAAGCTGTTTTGGTGATTGTGTTTATGATGTTTTGTCTAAAGAGTAACTGTGAATGTTACTTTGTATTTAGGGACTTAAATATTGCTTTATTTTGTATATTGCAATACAAAGGGATGTAGAAATATGTATTCAACATAATTGGGGTTGACTTACTTCTCCAGATGTCCCTCATGATGAAAATTAGGAGAGTGTAGACTATAACTGGGTGTGATTCCACATACCTTTAAAGAAATATGTAATAATTCCAGAATTGTATGATTTTCCTCCAAAGTATCTGCAAGTAAGGGTCATCTAAATTAAAATGTCCCATTTTTCCTCTAATCTGATATAATCAGTGATTGCTATTTGCCAAGTAAAAAAAACAAAAAAAAAAACCCAAAAAACCCCACAGACCTCCTTGGAAAAAAGGTCTAGCACTAAAATAAGAATGGTATGTGTGTATGTACTTATTTATTTATTTTTCAAACTACAGGTGCCTCCTTAGTGGTGTTGGTGTTATTTTTTTTCTCTTTCACATGTTTTAACTTCGAGGACAATTCTCAAGGCAATGTAGCACTGTATTTACACAAACTTTTCTCAACTATTTGACAGTGGTAGGATCTACTGCCATGGTGCATGAGAAATAATATAAGATAGTAATTTGACTTAAAAAAAGATAAATCCCTAAAACTGAACAGTAAGTGACTATTGAGAGTCCTTAAAAGTAAGCCTTCATAGCATAAATAAAAAATACCCAACTATCTTCATTCAAAACAAGCAGGTATATGTTATGATTGAGAAAAAAAGATCTGTAGAAAAGTGGCTCACATGCATTTTGCTGTAAAATAATTAAGCTTATTTATGTCAAGAGGCCTTGGGAAAAAAGGGAGCGTAAACCAATTTGCATTAGCACTCTACCATCATCCCCTGCTTCCATTTCAATTAACAGACCAGCAGGTGCTCTTTGCAGTTAAAAAGATAAGCTATCAAGGAGGAGGATGAATTTTTGGCTGACCTGTAGACACCATGGTTTGCCTGCTGATTGGGTTCGTACCTCGCTGTACCAATTTCTGAGGTGTTAATTTAACTGTTCCACTCTGTCATGCAGGTCTCGGCCTTGAAAAATAAACTGAAAAAGCAGTCTACAGCTACGGGTGATGGAGTAGCCAGGGCCTTTCTTCGGGCACAGGCAGCACTGTTTGGATCCTACAGAGATGCACTAAGATACAAACCAGTAAGGCTTTTTCTTCTTTACTTCTTTTTTCTTTAATTTATAAAAGCACAGTCTCATTCTTTGCAAGGAAAATATGAAATGTTTTATCTCAGTCTGAAACATTTAAAAGAAAATGTTTTAAATCTTACCCTATGCTAAGGATGCATTGGCAATTTACGAGACACTACCACCTCCTGACAATGAGTTGTACTGAAAAATAAATACTCATCTAAAGTCAGATGTTTTCTTGTTTGTGTCACTTTTATAATTTATTTAGTATAAAATCAGATTGTATTAGTGAAATATGCTTACACACAGCTCAGCTGGTTTAATATGGTGAAGAACTGAAGAGGCCGTGTCTTTCAGACTCCATCATTTTCACTGTACTGGTCTGGAGACTTTGCTGTGTTTGAGGCCAGAAGCTTTTTGTTTCCTAGCAGAAGCCAGATATGAGTCAAACATGCATCTCTGCTATTATACATTTATCTTGAATCCACTGAGCAGTTAGGAGAAATGAAAAATCATTTAAACCCATCAGAATTTCAGAATTTGTATTTCTGATGTTTTGCTGGTACTCAGTAGATTAATGTGTTAGGGGCTTTCATCCTTTCTGGTTTATGAGGGTAGCACACATTGGGCCTGTTAGAGATAAAATCACAGAATAATAGGAGTTGGAAGGGACCTCTGGAGATCATCTGGTCCAAAATCATTTATCAGAAACAACTTAGAGATTCATTTCATCTCACAGTCCTGATTCTTTTCCTATGATATTTGCAAACTGCTGATAGTAGTTCCATTTGATAACACGCATTGAGATGACATTGGCTGAATAAGATTCTGAGGTTATGATGTTTGGTGGTCTGATGAATTCAGATAAATACTGTGATTTGATAGGAGAAAATAATCCTCTCTTGAATCGTCAAGTTTGTAAAACTGGTCTGTCTGTGGGTACACAGGTGGATGTTTATTTGGGGGCGAGGAGGGCCATATATTCTGTTGTTGGGTAGGGTACCATGTGGTATTTCTTGGCAGGAATGGATAAGACAGCTATTAATTCCAGATGAAGCCTTTTCCTGGAGGAAATACTAAAATACCGTGTGGCAAGGTGGTCTTCCTTCTACCCAAGTGGTTCTCCTACAGGTAGTCTTTTTTGCCCTGAGCATTTCACACACTAGCTGTCTGTGCCATTGTTACTGAGATGAAAAGTAACCCATGTAGAAATGAAGTAATGTTTAAGGGTTTAGTTCAAGGATTTGTGTTTAGTAGTCATTATAGTTTTCCTATGATATGGAAAGCCAGTTTGCATGCTGTATTGAAAGGACTGTACCTGTTTTCCAAATCGCTAGAATTCATTGCAGTACTAGTTTCATTAAAACAAATAATTTGAACAAAACAAATAGCTGTAGTTTATTCCATAGTGACATTACTTGACATTTTTCAGGAGGGGTTATCCAATTTGTCCCTTAGTTGAAAGGCGAGGACACTGGTCCGTGTCAACTCACAGCAGCTTGCAGTAAGAGATGTTAAGTGAAAAACTGTCTTAATCTATATTCGATATATGCAGACAGAATGATGTCAGGCTGGTTGATGTCTTTACCTCTGTTCTGACCAGAAATAAACTCCAGTCAGTCCTTTATTTTGGTAAGTTTGTGGAACTGAATGTGCAAATTCTTCATCATTCTGATTAGCATCTCTGTTGAAATGAGCTCTCCGTTAACTGATTTCGATTTTATTTCAGTTTATCTGTTGGCATATCTGAGATCTCTACATTTGCACTGTGTTGGAAGTGGTGCACCATGCATCATTTCAACTGGCAAACGTTTGTCAAAGTGACCTTTGCAGTCTTTCTTTCTGCATTATTTTCTTTTACAGATTTTTTTTATCTTTTTCTTTTTTTTTTTTGTTTTTTTTTGGCTCCTCTGATTATATGGCCTGATGGGCTTTTTTTTGGTTTGTTGGGTTTTTTTGGTTTTGGTGGTTGTTTTTTTATTTTTTAAAGATACTTTATTTTAGAATATTTTAACAGGCAGAAGTCTGCTGGCAAATATGAGCTTATCTTGGATTGGCGTCAACTTATCCAAAGACAAAGTGTATTTTTAAAAAAAAAAAAAAATTAAAAAAGCGTAACAATGATGTTGAGATGTGTTCAGATAGTTTTAACTAATTTAGTATTTTACAGAATTTTTGTTGTGATTGAAAAATTTATTAGAAGCCGAATTTGCTCTGAATTAGTAGAAACTAAGAGAAGTCCCATAATTTTTCCGCTCATTTTACATGTGCTTTTTGAACTCAGTTTAATGCATTGTTAATTGAATTGGGACGTTCAAAAAATCAAATCACATTTGATTGTATTAAGACCATTTGTCAGGAGTCTCAGAATTGTGAATTGTTATTACAAAGAAAATACTACCCTTTGTTTTGGAGTCTGTGGTGCTAGATTTAGTAAGGAAGTCTAAAACACAGCTGTGGTTTTTATTTACATTCTTTCAGGAGCTTAAGTATTATTCATGTAGAAAATTTTTAGGGGGTATACTTAAATGAGAATATTTTTTATATAGATTTGAAACACTTTTGCTACAAATAAGCTTTTCATATTTTCAGAATCAAGAACTGAGGGCTTTTGGGGTGTCATTTTTAGGATCACAAACATCCTGATGAAAAATAAAATAATGTACTTAGCTATCAATTTCTTATACATTGAAAAATATGTTTAAGTGAACTATTTTCCTTGCAACAGTGTGTTCTGTATGATTTTAACGTGAAACATGAAACAACTGTCATTAATATTCACTTTGAGTAAAGAACAGCTTTAATAGTGTCTGTACTCATCCAACACTTCTTTTCACTCCAAACGCTGTTCATCACACTGAGCACTCATTCTGTGCAACTGTTTGTTTTCAGCACAGGACAGATTCTCCTCGGTATAGCAATATGTCTTGAACAAACGTCTAGCAATTATTGAAAAAAATGAAAGGGAAAATGGGAAGCTTCAGAGGTCTTGAAAGGAGTTCATGGGACTCCAAAAGACCATATGGAAAATTAGACTACCCTGATACAGACAGGAAATATGACATGTAGTAGATAAAGGTGATCATATTTTTGCGTGTAATAAATGATAACAAAGAACTTAATCCAATAAAAGTTTCAAAAAAAAGTGAAAATTGTTGGTTTTTTCTGATTTAATCATGGTACTGAATTAAAGAAATCAGTGAAATTGATATAACTGCCAAAAGTATTTTTGTAATATGCTACACTTTACATCAGCAAATATTGCATAATAGGAATGGATCTATAGAGCAAAAGAGTACTGTTGGTGCTAAGGACCTGACATCCACACAGTGTGGATTCTAGCTTTATTGTGGTTCTTATTTTAGTGCTCTGGTGAATACTGAATACCCATGAGTAGCTGGAGCTCATTTTTCGCTTTAGTTTGATCCAGAAGGAATCCAGTTCATGCATGGTAGGTGGAGATGATTGAAAAAATTGCTTCAGTCACTATCATTTGATAAATGACCAAAAAATAGTTCAGAACAAAAGATCATTTGTGGAATGGTGAGTTCTAACGTTTTTGTATATAGTCTCATTCACACAGAGGACTGCAATCCATTTTGAGATGTTGGGTGAGATGCTGCAACAGAGGAATGTGCATGGACTTTGTGAGGGGGTGGTCTCCAGCAGTGGCAATGGAGCTATTTAGAGTGTTTTGCTATAAAGAGCCCTGGAATATAGAAAGGCAAGTGGTTAGTGCATGGTTGTACTCACCCAATTAGCAGCTGCAGTGTGAGCCATTATGTGATCTGCAGCATCAGTGATCACAGTTTTGACCACAAGAATCTAACCCTGGTAAGGCATTGTGATGATCAGAGTGTTGTGAGATAAGTGCTTCTTACATCATGTAAATGCATGTACAAATCCAAATTATATTTACTTTGGGTAGTCACAACTTAGCCTTGAACCTCTTGTGGCTCCTATTTTCTTCAGGTAGTGCGGGATTTGGGAATTCATCGTGGAATAATATTACACGTTCCATGTTTCAGAATTGCGTGCGTGGGTCGGTGTTGGATACAAAGATTACAGTTGTGCAGTTTCTGTCATTTTGTCAATCAATGTACATGCAACATGTTTTTTTTTTCTAGCTCTTTACTGTGTACATTCTTCGTGGGTAATTTTTAGTCATCCTTCCTTATATCAGACAAGAGCCACACCAGGCAAACATTTTAACCACTCTGTGATGGCTAGGGAAAACGAGCCTTACACATGTACTTGTGCACACCTTGAAGATGAAAGCAAAGACTAGTGAACTTTTTTCAATTAATTGCCTATGGTATGGTCAGTTAATAAAACACTGTATGATGTAAAGAATTCTTAGACAGGCAATATTCCCAGTCCGTGTCTAGACACGGAGAGGTAGATAAGAGAATGAGGAAGGAGCTGGAAAATTATGAGTATAAAAGTATTCACCATGTTAGAGATTAATTTTAACATCATCAGGAAAATAAGCAAAGCAGAGAAGTTGTTTGCTCCTAAGTAGCAAGTATCAGGAGGAAATACAGGTGTGATATTTTTATTATTTTTTTTTTAAAGAAAGGTAATTCATCATGGCAAGACAAATAACACTTCAAATGTATTTCAAATAATCCTTTTTATGACACATCTGTTGAAAGGTTATGGAATATAAGCAATAGTATTTCTGCCTTTTGAAAAACTGGCTTTTCTACAAGAATTAGCTAACAAAAGATGAAGTAGTTGAAAAAAAATCACCTCTTTTGGGGAAAAAGTCCTCAAAACTCTTGATGTTAAAACAAGAGAAATAAACCCAGGATAACTTTAAGTTATGCTGGTTGTAACATCGCTCATCAGAAATTAAGAAATGAAGAGTGAAGGCTAATGCTTTGCTCTGGAATGCTCAGCAGTAGGAGTCCATGGTCTCATCAGCACACCAGGGGTGTCGAGATAACGTCCAGCTTGAAGATAGCACAGCTTGTCAGACCTCACTTTAATTGAATGCAAACTGGAGTGCTCTGGGCCAGTATTGACACTATTTTAAGCCGTGGCATCAGCTCTCTGACAGATGCAGGTATTGTATTCAATATGCAATAAATCAAAATAATACAATTAAATGTTATATTAGGAATAAATTGTTATTTTAAGGTTCAGAATGCACCTGAATTACTTGAGAATGCATAAGTAATGATTGCTTATAATTGAGTTTCAAAATGAAACTTTTTGAGGACAGGTATCTCCTGAAATGGGCATTGACTTGTTTACCTTCCCCCCGTTCCACACCAAGAGTTAGGCATAGAAAGTAGAGCAGAGAACAGAAACCAAGAAAGAGTAATGAAATACCAGAACAGAGTTTGTGTTTAAATCCAGAACCTCCCTGTGTAGTATCTATTACAACTATTTATTGTGACTTCCATAAGAGTTTTGTTTTACATGTTGAAAACCGTAATGTTTAATTTGTCTTAAGTACCGCAATAGTCCTTATATTGAGCATAGATATTATATTAATAGGAGTTGTTGTAGTGCTTAAGTGTCAGTAGAAGAAATATCAGCCCATCTGAATCTTTTTTTTTGGTAGACTGCAAGAAATTTGCAAATTTTGCAGAAATTTGTTTGTAACTTTAAATGGCACCTTTCTGAGTAGAGTTGTAGGTCATAATTAGTTATCCCCTGGCCTTTGTCTCTGAGTGTCATGACAGCAGATGAAATTTCAGTTTTGTACTTCCTTGATTATAAGCAGAGTAATTTTAATATCAAAACCAAAACAATGCTTAAAGTTTTGTGGTTTTGTGGGATTTTTAAAATAAATTATACAAACCTGAAGAAGCTTTGGCCATACCTACCTACCTTATAGTCTGCATGTAATAAGAGCTACCATATGAAACTGTATTAATTATAGCAATAGTACAAATAGTTGGTATGAGTCATCACATGCTAGAGCAATATGAATGTTTTCTGAAATAAAGAATTAAAATGTTTGTACTTCTTGTTCAAGTTAAATATCACTAGATTTAGAAAGCACAAACATACCTTCGAATCTAGATTATTTTTCCTTTTAAAATGATCATGCTGGTTTAGCTCACTGTTTTTGCGTTCCGTCGAGGTCTGTATAAATAGCTTGCTT